ATTCCCAAGACAATATCAAATGGGAGGCTGTCTTCTACGAGGAGAGTCAGGGAGTGGAGGACCTTCTCCACTTTCCCCTCTTTCTCTAAGCGGAAATATGTCTGAACTCCCTCTACGTAATCCTCTACAACATAATAGTGCGATTGTCTGCGAGGATACTAACTATGGGGTCTGTCAGTTTCTGGACTTTAAGTCCCAGCCTCAACTTCTGCAGCGCTTTCTTACTAATATAGCTGCGGGTGGCCCCTGAATCTACTAGGGCCCCTACTCTACTTTTTAAAATCTCTGTATCTAGCAATATAAGCTGCCCTTTATTCTCCTTCTTCATCTTGGCCCAGGCGGGCATCCTCTGTTTCAATTCTTCGGCCCCGCCTATGAGGGAGGTGTCTAGCGAAACTCTAACACAAGCAGTTTCGGGACAGCTATCTAGACACCGGCCTGCAACCTCTGCAATAGGCACATGTGGTGTGGGAGTCTCCTGCCGGCTAGCGCTATATGTTCCCCAGATGGCCTAGTGGTAGGGTCAGTTGCTACCCCTACCGGCGGCTGCCTTTTGGCCCTGGGGCAGCCGTTCGGGTCTCTTTATACTTGGGACAATATTTGATGACATGGCCCGGGTCACCGCAGAAAATGCACTGGCTCCGGTCCAATCGTTTTTGCCATAAGTCCTGGTCCAGACCCAAGGATTCCCAAGGCCTACCCTGHGGTAGCCCTGGGTGCCATCCTCCTACCCTATAGGGAGACCTATTCCTAGGACGGTTTTGCGGGGGACCTTGACCCCTGCCTCCCGCTTGGCGGTTTCCTCCTCTGCCGCCAACCCCCTGATCGCCCTGGAATCGGTTCCCTGAGGCCCGGCCCCCTTGGCCCTGGCCTCTTCCTCCTTGCGGCCTCCCTCCAGCCACAACAGCAGCGTAGGATCTCCCCTGGCCCACACCGCTGTCCGCCTCCTCTAGCCCACACTCAATCTGATCGTAGGGAATCTCATCCACACTACCCTCATCTGAAGTCAGGACAAGGCTATCCTTGGTCTTTACCTACCCTGAGATAGTGCGGCCTTTCCATTGCTTTCCCTTGTCCAAATCCTTATGCCAAAAGGTGGACAAGGACACCGACTTCGCTTCAAAAGCCACCACCTCACGACTAAAGGAATCGTAAGTGGTGACAGGGTCTTCGCTCTTCGCGAAGAACTACCCTCGAAAGGCTTCGGGCATAGCCCGGTAAAAGAGGTTGACCAATTGGCCCTCTATGACCCCATGGTCAGGGACGGCCACCAACTCATCCATTGTACCCTTGAGTGCCCTGGCACTCTTCCATTTACGAGAATGGATGGTTTGGAGCTTGTCTGAGGCCTTGACACTGCGAGCGACATCAGCAAATCGCTCGCGCAGCAACTTCAGGGATTCGGTGAGGGACGTAAATGAAGAGTACGCAACTGGATCGTCGCTACAGTTGGCAGCACGAACAAGGGATCTCGCGAAACCAGCGGCCTCGTCTCTAAGTGCATGGATCGCAATTAAGACCTGCTGATCCGGGGAGACCTGTTGCAAATGCACATAGGTCTTAACATTGGCCTCCCAATTGTCAAAGTTCTCTTCCCTTTTCCCGCTGTAGGAATCAGGGAATTTGACTTTCACTGGCTCCTTGCGAGGACGGACCTCCTCCTCCTTGGGAGCGGCCACCTTGACGCCTTCGATGGCACCGACACAAAAACGCTCAGTCTTCTCGAGGCGATGACTCACCTCGGATCCCACAGCACCTACTAGTTCGCGACCAAAATCTCGTAAGCCTGTTCGCATCGAGCGTACAGATATCTCCTGGCTGCGACTAAACTCAAAGTGTCTTTCTTGCACTTTAGCTAACCGCTCAACGCTYTGGGCGATGATCTCCACTTTACGTTGGAGATCCACTTGCGGAATCAATTGTGTTGTTACGGCAGCCCTCACCTCCTCCAGTTCCTGCATTGCCGCATTCGCCGCCTCCACTCTTCTCTTCTTCTCCCTCATCACTACGAGCTTCCACGCCATCCTTTGTTCGTCCTCCATCGCCCGCCGCGTCAGAACATCTTCTTCTGCTTCCCATTTCTTCATGGAGGCTTCTTGCTCATCCTTGGGGATGTACATAGCAACCTCTTCCTCCTCACCCAGGGATAAGTTGGCGACCCACTCCGAAATCTTCTTCTCCATCTCATCACTGTTGCGGCCGCTGTGCTGCCCACTCCTTTGCAGTGGTGGTCCCTCCTCCTCTTCATCCACCTCCTTCAGCTGCTCCTCTTCTTCCTTTATCAGCCTCTCCTTCTCCCTGGCCATTTCTTCCTCCATCTTCTTCAATTTGGCTGCCTGTTCTTCTTTCAAGGCCTTCTTATCGGCCTCCTTCTTCTCCCTCCTCTCCTGCAGGATGACGGCCATCTTCTCCTCCTCCTCCCTCGTGTATGGTTGGGTGGCGGTACCACCTCGAGTGGGCCCTACTCTACACGCAAAGGTATGCCAAAATCCCAGAGGAAAGAGGAGACGCCAGAGGGTCCCCCAGAGGGAGAACCCAACCAGCAACCCATACATCGGRTARTCRTCCRTCGTGGTGTTGGTGCACGACAAGGGTCCCACTCCTCACCACGTAGCCCTACCCGGACACACTAACCTACTGACTGACTTCCTAAGGACCACAAGATAAGACCCTGTCAACTATGGTCACTACTAACCCAAGACTACTCAAAGGCTGTCACTACAGAACCAAGAGCTGATCAGGAGGCATTTAAGGAGATCCCCCAAACTCCGCAAGAATTCTTTAACGTCGCAGACAGGACGACGTGATCAGCTTGGTTCCTCTGGCGATTTCAGCCCACAACTCAGTCGTTCCGGCCTACTGTGCCACACCGAGCAGCCCGCCGGTCAGTACCGGTCCTTGGAGGGGTTCGTATCCCTCGGGACAGTCGAGTCGTCAGACACAGATCATCAGCCTTACTAGGTCCGGTAGGGGAGTGGCTCAACCAGGCCTCAACACTTAAAGACGGCCTTCGTTTCAGCCTGCAGCTCGGAGTTCAGACCCTCCACACTTGACTCAGTAGACCTGCGGGACACTACCGGTCATTGGGCTAGACGAGTTGTTTAACGAGCGCTCGCCGCTCATGCCCAGGTCTCCAAGTGTCAGAGTAGAGCTTAGGTCCTACTAAGCCCGTGCAGGTTTGGCAGCAAGGCCCTATCCTTCATCCACAGAGTCCTAGCACCTAAGACWRAAGAGACTCAATGCAGAAAGAGTAGACWGACAACTCAGCAAGTACCGTGGGGTAAGTGCACATCCACGGGGTAAGGGGATAGGCTGAAGGGTCAACGAGATATCACCAACTCCAGCTTGGTCAAAATCTTGGTCAGCAGCAACTCCGGTCAACGCCTTGGTCAACGCCGAGTCAACRCGAGCAACCCCCAATCAACGCTTGGTCAACACCCTCGGTCAACGCCTGGTCAACCCTTGGTCAACCCTCTGGTCAACGCTCTGGTCAACTCCTCACCTCGGCTATGGCTGCTGGCACCTTCACCTTCGTCACCCTCGCCGTCTACTCCCCTTTTCTTCACCTTCTTTCTTCTTCTCTATATATATATAGATTTTTTTTTTCACCCCTGGCTATGTTTGTCTTCTTCTTCAATCTCCTCCTTCCACTCTTCTTCTTTTCTCTCCTCAGTCCCTCCTTCTCTGTCCTCCCTTTCTCTCTCCTCCGGTACTCTGTGTCAATGCTCCGCGGCTATGGCCGCTGTCTTCCTTCACCACCGGACTCCGCCGTCTCGCCTTACAGGTAAGTGACAACCAATCTTGGATCGCTCATGTCTCTCTCTCTCTCTCTCTCTCTCTCTCTCTCTCTCTCTCTCTCTCTCTCTCGCCGTAGCGGTATCTTCAGCACAGCAGGTAAGTAACCAATCTTGTATCACTCATCTCTCTCTCTCTCTCTCTCTCTCTCTCTCGTGTTCTTCTTGATGCAGGTGCGCAGCGGCTTCTTCCACCAAAGGTCCGCTATGGCGGACTTTCTCCTCCAGCGGCCACCTCAGTTATGGCGCCTGCACACGACGGCGCGTGGAACAGCGGGTACCAGCTCCGATACCAGTGCAATCATACTCGACTTGTTCACACTTCATCATGCTTGCAAACAGCGATACAGCGAACTGGCGACATGTGCCCACACAGTACTCAACGATATCGTAACCAGATATGAGTTCTCTTCCAACTGGCTATGGCGACCGTGAGCCCGTACAACTCACTGTTCACACTCGAGATCACCCTGGATGTCCCACACGCGACACTCAATGTTCATACACAACACACACACACTAGGCTATGGCTATGGCAGCGCTAGCTGCCACTACCCTATCGCTACACTACACTTCTCTGCCCACTTCGTCTTCGGCCACACTGCAGACCTCCTCGCACAAGCTGCTGACGCAGCGCTTCCGCATGGCATCTGCAGGAATGAATYCATGGCTGGACGCAGCCTCTTGATTTATACTTCTGCGCTGCGTTGGTCTGCCCTGTATCCCTGGCCCATGGTGCACACAGTYCCCCCCYGTGGTACTTGCTGGACCGGACTGGTACTTTCTAGACTCTCCCTTGACTGCATGGTGACGACCCTACGACGCAGTGCAGTTGCACTGGGGTCCTGCTGTTTGACCTCGCCACTTGTCCTCGTCTACAACGTGGGCTTGCTTTAGTCACACMACTTGGCCACTTGCCTGCACCACTWGACCACTTGCCGACCTTCTAGAAGGACTGCAGCTAGACTTCWAATCTACAGGTCTACAGATCGAATCCTGGCTACCTATAGACCTACGACAGACCTACTTACCACTGGCGGTTCTACAGGTCGCAGGTTCAATTCTTCGAGTTGACACAGGTATTGTACACAGGTAAGTTGGGGAACTAGGGATCGAACCCTAGGATCTGCATCAGCTACTTCGAACTGGTGAATGCCGTTTCACAACATCTGATCGTCTTCCATTTCGGCCAGGCCCTGCTTTATGCCACGTGTGAAGGAAGACGATCGAGTGACCACAATGACTTATAGAACATAAGAACCTCGAGGGCAAACTAGGAACAACCGCCTTCCTCTATCAATCCAGAAGTAAAAAACGGCAAGACTCGCCAGATGCGTGACGATCACTGCTCTACTCCGCCAACGTCTACGTCCAATCTAATTGTGGGGAAAATGCTGCACCCCAGATGGCTATGAAGTTATGAACCAATGTGCAATCGACTCTGTCCGTTGATCCCTCCTGCTACACATCTTCCCCTTCCCTGCCTCCGCTCCTCCCCCCTCTCCTCCTTCCCTCCATCTGTCGTCATGACGACTCGCTCTCCGCAGCAGCGAGACTACCTACCCGCTCCAGGTGACCTCTTCAGCACCCCCAACCTTTCTCACGAACATTCTAACGCCCGCTTTGCTAATGTGCCAAAGCAAAGCAGACATCGCAGAGAACCAACTCCGACCAGAACCCTGATGCATCCCTCATGCATCCCTCATGCATCCCTCATGCCCTAATGGATCCCTGATTGGAAACTGACAGCCCAATCATCCCACTGGCAGGAACAAGCAACTGGGGTGCTAACGGCGTACCCACTCAGGCCTGCATTGACGAATCCGGCGAATCTTCGATGTCAACAAGGTTGTCCCGGAGGAGAACGATCCTCTGGTCAGGGAGCGATCCTCCAACGCCCCTTCATCGGTGCGCGCGCACGACGTTCATAAGTCTCAGAACAGCTTCTAAGGTCCTGACAGTGTGTGCCTCACCTCACCCGTGACTTATGAGGCACACACTCAACCAATCGCCATTATCTCCCCTCTCCCCTCTCCCCTCTCCCCTCTCCTCCGCTTTCTTTGATCTCCCTCCAAAGCTCATAGCCTACCGGTCCTAAAGACTCCAAACGACTCCTACCGGTCCTAAAGACTCCTAACGACTCCTAACGACTCCTAACGACTCGTAACCTATCACAACTATATTATATCCTATGTCCGCTTCCTTCACGATTCGACCTCACGATGATGCAACAACATATAGCTACTTGTGCGACACCGCGAACTGTTTGCAAACAGACTCTGCATGTGCGACACTGCGACTCGCCATTCCGCGCCGTGCACTGGGTTATCTCCCCCCTTCCTTCCCAGCCCTCCCTATCACAATTTTCTACGTCCGCTCCGCTCCCTAAAGGATTCGCTGTCACGGACTGGTTGGGCAAATTGAATCCTTCATTTCCGAAACAGATTGACTTGAGATATTGCAATCAAAACAGAAACTCAAAGTGATCTCGTCCTTTTTTTTATTTATTTTAGATCCACAAGTTCCACAATGACCCTGGCAGTCCATGCCGTTAACGATGAGTGTTGGGGTGTTAGTCCTTGGTCTACGGCCGCCGGTGGTTTTTGGGGGCGATTAGCGATTCGATGAGAGACCTAGCTAGCTGACGTGTTAAACACTCCGCCTGGGGAGTAGTACGGTCGCAAGGCTGAAACTCAAAAGAAAAGGAATTGACGGGCGCCTCTGCACTGGTGGTGGAGCACGTGTTTTTTTTTTTTTTCCTTTTTCTTTTTGGTGGAGTATGTGGTTTAAATTTACAAAGAAATTCAAATTACTACATGATCCCGAACTGTTTGCAAACAGACTGCATGTGTGACTCGCCATTCCGCGCCACGGTCTGGGTAACTCCCCCCTCCCTCCCCTCCCTCCCCTCCCTTCACCTTCCCTCCCCGCATGGGCCCACAAGGCGCCAACTCCAAAACGCTTCGTCCAGAATACGCCCTTCCCTTCAATTGCTTGGATGCGGCCGTCAATCTCTCTCTCTCTCTCTCTCTCTCTCTCTCTCTCTCTCTCTCTCTCTCTCTCTCTCTCTCTGTGTGTGTGTGTGTGTGTGTGTGTGTGTGTGTCTGTCTGTCATGTTGTCCTTTGGCCTATTACGATTGCATTTGCTATGATGGATTGATGCCTCATTCGTCAATGGCAATTGGGCTTGCAGAAGAGACCCGATGCGGGCAGCAATTTGCTCATATCGATCGATTCCCTCCCCGAGCGCATCCCCCGGCAGTAGGCAACCCTACTACTCTCCTCTGTCTTCGCAAGTAAGATTCCGGAGGAGTTCCCTCCGCCTACGCACTTTCTGCTGGTGTCAATTACCAGCCAGGTGCTGCTGCAGCCGGCGATGAGGACTGCCGTGCAGCGCAACGATGACGACGAGTCGGACTCGGTTGCTGGCGGGCAGTCGCGACTCTTATCTAACGATCCGGGACGTAATCCAGGACGTAAAAAGTAATTGAACATTTGGATTCAAATTCACGGAAAGAGAGGGATGGGTTGCTGAACCTGCTGGTCGATTATGAGATGCAGGCGCAGCCGACTATGAAAGATCGCCGTGCAGTGCAGCATGCCGACTCTGCTGCTGGATCGATCACAGACCTGCGGACGGTGGCGGCACGGAGACAACACCGGGGTCGACTTGCAGTAGACGGTACAGTGGCTCCTTGTTTCTCTGCTCACCGTCTGCGAACACACGATAGCCGCCATCGGCGCACAGATTGAGTGCTTCCTCTGTGAAGCCGGCAATACCCAGGAGAGAAGAGAGGAAGTCGTCGGCGCAGGCGCGATTGCCGTCGGCGTTGCTCAGCACCTCCATTGTGGTCCATTGGATCGCCCGACAGCAGTCACCCGAATAGAGATTGTCGTCGCAGAAGGCTCGGACGAGACTGTAAAGCTGAGCGCTGAACTCCGTCGTCGTCGAGCAATCGGAATCCGCGTGTGGCCCCAGGACACCAGCGGCTCTTGATGCCACCAACAGCCACAGCACCAACACTGCGGCCAAAGCAGCCATCGCTTCTGCCCTTCTGGCGTCAAAGGGGTACTACCAAGGCCAAACTGTACAAGAGGCCGCCCACGCAAAAATCACAGTAGTGCTGCCGCTGATACTGGAACAGCCACGTGGAAGACACAAAAGGGTACAAAAAATTCCGTACAAATGGAATGACGATGCCACGGCGGACAACAGATCCTCCGTCAAAACCCGCTGTCGTCACTGTCCATTGCGAAGGGATCACCTACACTCTCTCCCCCCCCCCCCCCGAATACAAGGTACGGTCATTAAAGCTGATTTTTTTGATGCATCTTTCAGTCTAAATTCGGCTTCAATGACCGTACGTTGTATTCGGTGGGGGGGGGAGGGGGGGGAGACTGTAGCTCTCTTCGTCTCTCCCAACGAACTCACTCCGGGAAACGTTCCCGTGCTCTCTCAATCCACTTCCACCTTCGGCTCCGTTGTTCTCCACGTCATCGAGCAGCGCAATGATCAAGCAGACGAGCTGCTCGCGGCATATGACGCAATCCCGAAAGAAACTGGCGCCGTGAAGAGTAGCAAGAGTAGCAAGGTGTTATCGGCGTCTGCCCTAATAAGCCGATCGAAGCTGGCTGGAAGAGAAGGACGGCTTGCACCGGGGTGTTTTCGGCGTCTGGCCTAATACGCCGATGGAAGCTCGCTGCAAGAGAAGGACGGCTTGCACCGTGGTGTTTTCGGCGTCTGCCCTAATACGCCGATGGAAGCTCGCTGCGAGAGAAGGACGGCTTGCACCGTTGTGTTTTCGGGGTGTGCCCTGATAAGCCGATCGAAGCTCGCTGCAAGAGAAGGACGGCGCCAGCGAACGTTGACCGAACTGGCAACGTGTTCTCCACCATACGATAGGCAGACCCAGTCTTCACATGATGAAAGCCTTCGGGGGCGACGCCCAAATTTTATATTAAACCGGAGACTCTGAGTCGAAGGAGAGGTGGTTAGGGATTAGGTGCTCAGGATTTCAGGTCGACGGCCAATGGATGGTCGTTCCTTGACCGCGCGAGCTCTAGCACATATACTCACTCACACGATTATACTTAGCTATAATGGATAATGGACGTGATCACAGTCAGATGCTTCGGCTGAAAATGCAGTCAGGTACATTTAGCAAATTAGCGAAGTTCGTCTGTGAGAATGCCCTGACGATTCTCACGCTCGGACTTCGACCAAAGCTGCGCTTTTCACCGACTGTGTAAACTGAAACTGACGAGTTGATGTATTTTCATGTAGAAAGTAGAGAGATACAATGGCCTTTTTTGCCCCTTTTTTTCACTTTTTTTCCCCCTTTCCCCCCCCTTTTCCCCTCCCCTTTTTTCCCCTTTTTTTCCCTTTTTTCCCCCTTGATTTGTTTTCCCTCTTTTCCCCCTTTTTTGGGGTCACAATTGTTGAAATGCCCCTGAAAGTTGGGGTATTTGGTCAGATACCCCTAAAAGGCGTGGGCACCGTGACGGCGAAATGCCCTCTCACAGTCCTGTGCGAAATACCCCTCTTGCCAGTTGGACCTGTCATCTTTTGCACGTACCCCTACGCGCCCCTTGACAACTGATCTAAATGCCCAGGTATTTCTGTCCGTTGGGCCCTGCAGATGGCAAAAGAAACGCACGGGCCCCTGCAGCCCGGGGCCAGGGCATATGGCAAAGTTGCCGATGAGGAGGACAGGGCCAGATGCAGAAGTATCTAGCAAAATACCCTAACTTTTAGGGGTATTTCGAGAATGTCTGTTTTCTTTTCACAAAAAAAACTTCCCCTTTTATTATAAAGGGGCCCAGTGCCCAAGGCTCACATCATCATAGCAAACATCCTCCAGAGTCAGGGGCCTACTGGCCTCAAACCCTACACCCCAGGCAGAGCCTTTCCCCTGTTACAGTAGCAAAAAGCCAGAAAAGCCAAGGTAAAGCAGGGCAAAAACCTCCTAAATACGCCACCCCTTTACTTTTAAACGGGCCCAGTGCCCAAGGCTTACATCATCATTATGATAGCAAATGTCCTCCAGATTCAGGGGCCAACTGGCCTCAAACCCTACACCCCAGCCAGAGCCTTGCCCCTGTGGCAAATTTCCCCAACTGCAAAAAATTCAAAACACCTTTTTTTCTTTTCTTTTCTTTCTCGAAAGGGCCATGGCCTTGACAAGTCATCATTGAACTGACTGGCCCCTGGTAACTCAGAATTATTTTGCTCTGTTCATCTGATTGGGTCTGGACTCGAACATTCATCGACTTAGAGAGTTCGTTGTGTATACAGTGCGAGGGTGTAATCACACTAGCACTATATTAAATGTATCTGACGGCATTTACGGCCGCACCTGGATGCATCTGGCCGCAATTCCATCCGAAATAAATATTTTTTTTCAAGAATCTACATTATACGAAAATAGCTGCGTAGCATTTCGCCTTGCGCTGTCTTCCGTTCGGAGTATTACGGGGGCGGAAAAAGGTCCTGGAAAACAGCAAAATGGGGTGTGACAAGGATTTTTGGGAAATTGAGTGTGGGGACAGACAGAACTGAAATCCCCTGTGTTGTCTGATGAAGTAAGAGAACCGGTTGGTTCCAGCGCGGGTTACGAAGAAGAGCGCGCGGGATTCGCGCCACGGGGAAATTCGAATTCAATCCAGAAAATACTGTCGAACCTCCCACCGAGCCACGGCCCTTCGTTTGGAGTGAAAGGGAGCGGGCACGTGCTTAGTATCCCATTTTCGGACTAACTCCCGACGCCGCACGTTGCCCAATTTCGAATCTGACGTAGACGGCCTTAAGCGCGTGGCCCTTTCCTTATGCTCGTCCTCATTCTGTACTCGGTAGTGGAAACCCTTTGATTGGTAGTGATCAAAGCGTTGGCAATCACTACACAGAGTTTTAGGCCAATGGGGCGCCACTGGCGACCGTGGGATGACGATCAACTCGTTAAACGGTAGTAGCAACGAATATGGCGGAAAATGTGTATCGATAATGGCAAACCCAGCATCGACAAACCCAGAACACCGATTTTCAGGAGGGAAGTAATATTGCCCACCAATCTTTGCGACGGCTTCTCATACGTCCCACTCACACACATGCGTCCTTTCCTCGTTATACGGGAAGGGGCGAGGTGCGGATACGGGAGGCCGGCGCCTAGTTGGGTTGAGCCTGTCAGTCCACATGGCAATCAATCAGGCGCTACGTGGCACCCTCGGCCGCGGCCACAGGATCCGAGTCCGCGGCCCGGATCCTAGGCCGCGCGGCCGAGTTTGCGCGCGGCCGAGTTTGCGCGCAGGTGGGCGCGCGCCCTCGAGATCCGAGCGCGCGCGCGGCCTGCGCACGTCGGCCGCTGTCGGCCTGTGCAAAAAAAAATAAAAAAAATAAAAATTTGGGGGGGGCCGATTTTTTATATGTTAAAATATATATATATATATATATATAAAATTCGATTGATTGATTGATTGATTGATTGATTGATTGATTGATTGATTGATTGATTGGTGGGGGAGGGGTCCTCCCTCCCCTCCCCCCGGCGCGCACACACACACACACACACACAATCAATCAATCAATCAATCAATCAGTGAATCTTGACCCCCGCCGTCCTCCCCCCTCCGCGCGATCCCGACCCCC